ACTTGGCGTGTGTTTGTGTATATACTTATATATAAGGGTGTATATATACATCCTTATAAATATATATAGGGTGTATATCTCCGTATATTAATACACGCATGGCGACAGGACAGAACAGTGGAATGATTGGAAGGTTTCCGCTTTCAACGAGGCTGAGTTACGTTGTCATAGAAATATAGCCAAGATATGTTAACACGAAAATATAGCGAGATATAGTGCAATAAGATATCGAAAGGGGGACTATCGCTATCCTCCCTCCTCCCTGCCCTCCTCTCTCTCTCTCTCTCTCTCTCTCTCTCTCTCTCTCTCCTCTCTCTCTCTCTCTCTCTCTCTCTCTCTCTCTCTCTCTCTCTCTCTCTCTCTCTCTCTCTCTCTCTCTCTCTCTCTCTCTCTCTCTCTCTAGTCAAGAGCGTATGACTAGAAGCTGTACCCGGTAGTGCCCGGGTCTCTTCCCCCATCCCTTCTCTTCCCCTTTCTTTACCTCTTCTTCGTCACCCTCCCATCTCTTTCCCTCTACCATCCCCCCCCCCATCTCCTACAACATCACTACATAATACAATACACTACAATACTGCCTAAACGCTTCCCACAGTGGTTTCAACAATCAATAAATGAACAAAGAACCCAAAATTAACACATTGTTTTAGGGTTTAAAGGCAAAATATTATGCTTAAAAAAAATTATTTTTATTTTGACATGATTTAATATTAAAAAAATAATAATAATTTAGTGCCGAGTCATTTAGTATTGCGAAAGGACCCTGAGGGCGTAGTTGGCACCCGACAATGGTTTCTCTGATGACCCGACCATGTTGGGCTCGTACCCGCCAGCAGTCTGGCATACTTCACCCCCCCTCTCAGTGTGCCCCTGTGACTGTAACAGAGCTTGGCGTTTTCACCCCCTACTTTCTCTCACGATCAATATATATGGCGTTATCAAACCGATTGGGCTTTAATCTTTCCGCTTCACGAATTAAAGAAAACAAAGTCTGTACACACGTCTGTACAAAGACGTGTGTACAGACTACTCCCCCCCCCCTCCCTTCGTGTACAGACTCCCCCCCCCCACCCTGTGTACAGACTACTCCCCCCCACCCTGTGTACAGACTACTCCCCCCCCACCCTGTGTTCAGACTACTCCCCCCCCCACCCTGTGTTCAGACTACTCCCCCCACCCTGTGTACAGACTACTCCCCCCTACCCTGTGTACAGACTACTCCCCCCCCCCCCACCCTGTGTACCGCCACACACTACTTCAAGGACAAGCGAGAAATCTTTTGATTTAGTTTCAGAAACTGATTACAACGTCTCCTTTCATTCGCTTTCCCTTACGATATCTACCAGCCTCGTTAACTAACGATTTACCAGCCTCGTTGGCTAATTACCGTTACCAGCCTCGTTATCTAATTACCATTACCAGCCTCGTTGGCAATTACCATTACCAGCCTCGTTAGCGAGCCCATTGCTCTTATTGACGAACAACGTGTAAGTAGGGCTTTGTGTATGAGGTGTTCTATGTGAGTTCGACTTGAGGTTCGACTTGAGGTTCGACTTGAGGTTCGACTTGACGTTCGACTTGACGTTCGACTTGACGTTCGACTTGACGTTCGACTTGACGTTCGACTTGAGGGACAGTTCCCCCACGCTGTCAACACCACACTGTGGTAATGGCTCGAGTGGAACTGCCTCAGCTGGGGGGTATCGAACCCGCCGGTGACTGAGTGAAGGTCAAACTTGAGCGTGAAGCCTTGCGCCTCTTTAGGCTGGACTCGGTCCCTTATGGCTGTTTGGCTGGCTTGTTTTACCGTGTTGTTGGTCCCGGGGTTCGACATCCCCTCGTCATGTTAGAACGGATAGACACTTCTCGCTCTCACACTATTCCTCCCCCTCACAACCCAATCGTTACAGCCGATTGAACTCGTTAATTCTCCAGGATGAACGAGGTCTGGCCGACGAGGTGCCGTATATAGTGCCTGTTCAATCAGTCAGACGCACCACAGGTCCATCACACAGTGTGGTGTGGTGATTGACAGGACCAGGTGGGGGGGGGGGGTTCTATACCTGTTACCTGTAGCAGGTGCACAGGACCTCACCTGCCGGTCCTGTGCACTATACAGGTGAGCTCTGATGAGCAGGAACTGGGTCAAACTCATCAGATGTTGAGTACAGTCATTAGGGTGTTTTACAGTGTTTGGAAAAGAGTAGTTAGCTTGTTCTTAAATGTACCTTCATAGTTAGCTGCTGTTAGTGGAGATGTATAACTACAGGTAGAGTGTGTGTAACTACAGGTAGAGTGTGTATAACTTCAGGTAGAGTGTGTATAACTTCAGGTAGAGTGTGTATAACTTCAGGTAGAGTGTGTGTAACTACAGGTAGAGTGTGTATAACTACAGGTAGAGTGTGTGTAACTTCAGGTAGAGTGTGTATAACTTCAGGTAGAGTGTGTATAACTTCAGGTAGAGTGTGTGTAACTACAGGTAGAGTGTGTATAACTTCAGGTAGAGTGTGTATAACTTCAGGTAGAGTGTGTATAACTTCAGGTAGAGTGTGTATAACTTCAGGTAGTGTGTGTATAACTTCAGGTAGTGTGTGTGTAACTACAGGTAGAGTGTGTATAACTTCAGGTAGAGTGTGTATAACTTCAGGTAGAGTGTGTATAACTTCAGGTAGAGTGTGTATAACTTCAGGTAGTGTGTGTGTAACTACAGGTAGAGTGTGTATAACTACAGATAGTGTGTGTAACTACAGGTAGAGTGTGTATAACTACAGATAGTGTGTGTAACTACAGGTAGAGTGTGTAACTACAGGTAGAGTGTGTGTAACTACAGGTAGAGTGTGTGTAACTACAGGTAGAGTGTGTATAACTACAGGTAGAGTGCGTGTAACTACAGGTAGAGTGTGTATAACTACAGGTAGAGTGTGTATAACTTCAGGTAGTGTGTGTGTAACTACAGGTAGAGTGTGTATAACTACAGATAGTGTGTGTAACTACAGGTAGAGTGTGTAACTACAGGTAGAGTGTGTGTAACTACAGGTAGAGTGTGTATAACTTCAGGTAGAGTGTGTATAACTTCAGGTAGTGTGTGTGTAACTACAGGTAGAGTGTGTATAACTACAGATAGTGTGTGTAACTACAGGTAGAGTGTGTAACTACAGGTAGAGTGTGTGTAACTACAGGTAGAGTGTGTATAACTACAGATAGTGTGTGTAACTACAGGTAGAGTGTGTAACTACAGGTAGAGTGTGTGTAACTACAGGTAGAGTGTGTGTAACTACAGGTAGAGTGTGTATAACTACAGGTAGAGTGCGTGTAACTACAGGTAGAGTGTGTATAACTACAGGTAGAGTGTGTATAACTACAGGTAGAGTGTGTGTAACTACAGGTAGAGTGTGTGTAACTACAGGTAGAGTGTGTGTAACTACAGGTAGAGTGTGTATAACTACAGGTAGAGTGTGTATAACTACAGGTAGAGTGTGTATAACTACAGGTAGTGTGTGTATAACTACAGGTAGAGTGTGTATAACTACAGGTAGAGTGTGTATAACTACAGGTAGAGTGCGTGTAACTACAGGTAGAGTGCGTGTAACTTCAGGGGAAGAGACAATAATGATTTCTAAAACCTTATGGCGTCAATGGTGAAAAACTTTGAACTGCTCTATGCAAATTTTATCTAAAGTGTCTTTTTTGTTCCATTAAGTTCAGTGCTTTCCCCCTGGGTACCCCCCCCCACCTAGTGTCTCTCATATATTATATATATATATATATATCTATATATATATATATATATATATATTATATATATATATATATATATATATATATATATATATACCACACACTGGACTTTGGTTCAAAGCTCTTGTTGGATGGCTAGTTAGCTATTGTGGTGGCCTTAATAACCCTTTCGTGGTTGATAGGCCCAATAATAGTCCAACCATCTGTTTAGTAGGAGAGAAAAAAAGGTTTTAAAATCTTCGCTACGTGATTACCAAGGAACTGCCCAGATTATAGTTGACGAGAGTTGATGAGTTGATGAGCAACCTTGCAACAAGGAGGAGCTGGTGCGCGACGTGAGGCATCATCTTGAGAACCTATATGTATTGAGAGCATGCAGGTCTGCGTTCAATCCCCCCTGACCGTATCTAAGTGCCTGGGCACCATTCCTTCCCCTCCGTCCCATCCCAAATTCTTATCCTGACTCCTTCCAAGTGCTTTATAATTGTAATTGGCTTGGCACTTTCCCCCTGCTAGTTCCCTCCCTCTTCATGGTTGTTAGAGTACGTAGTTGAAGGTCTTAACAACCTTCAGTAATATACAGCACTTAATTAAAGGGGATGAACTACCATTTAATAATTATTATACAAATTGTAATAAATAATTTATATTAATCACATATCCATAATAACATTAATATTCCTATGTATTTTATAACAAAATAATCACGTTACGATGAATTCCATATAAAAAAAAACATGAATAACAAAAAAATTATTAGCAAAAATTAACTGGCTCCTGATGGAAAATATTGTGCAGTGGATTTTGAGATAATCTGTTAAACGGATGACGCTGTAAACAGAGAGATTAAAGCGATTTCCCTCTAACTCGCTGCTCGCACCGCTCAACACCCCCCCCCCCAACAGTCTAATGGATCACACCAATGGCGCTTAACAACGGTAATTTTGTTTAAGCGTAAGGCAACAGCTGACTCCAACAGGGGAAGATCACTAACAACAGGAGGGTGGGGGGTTAGGGGGTAGGAGTAATGGTGGGGGGGGGAGGAAGGGGGGAGAGAGGGGGGGGGGTAGGGGTGATGGTGGGGGGGAGGGGGGGAGGGAAAAAGAAGAGGGGGGTTGTGACCAAGAGGACACAATGGGCCACGTGCCGCAGTTGGTCACGGGTGTGTGGGGGGGGGGAGGGGAGGAGAAGGGGGAGAGGGGGGGGCAGCCTCCTCTCACTACCCAGTCGTAAAAAAACACACACAGTCTGATCCAGGACGCCGCGAGAGTTAGAGCCCGCAGCAGGACGCACCACCGACGCCCCCGAGTGCCATAGAGGGACCCTCACAGGAAAATGCACACTAACGAGACCGTAAAAACGCTCAGGAAGGCCTTAAGATAAAGGACAATTTGGGTGTCCAGACTATAGCTCCTGGACCCGATCCGACCTCCCCATACACATACACACTTGACCTAAACGATACCATCGAAGTGAATTACCGTGATATATCTACCCCCCCCCCTCCCCCCTCCTAAGAAGGCTCACAACGCCTTAATCACCGCAGATAATCACCCGGAAAGACTCATTAACCACAACAACATGACCAATTAACATTGATAAAGATTAAGCCACCCAAGAGGTGGCACGGGCATGAATAACCCGCAAGATGACCAACTAATCAGTGGAGCTCTTTAAGTGGTGAAAGGTGTGTGAGAGAGAGAGAGGTCAAAGGTCACTGGATAACGGCGACTGAGCTCCTGTTAACAGGTAAAGTGAGTTCTTGTTTCTCTTGCTAATTTTTTGTTTTTGTTTTTAAATACGAGGATTTTTTTTGTTACCTCAGTGCAGGACAATCAATCTCCTTTAACAATGGTTCAGCATGGGGTGGGGGGGAGGTGTGAGGGGGGGAGTTGTGGGGTGGGGGGGGGGGGGGAAGGTGGTGGTGGTGTGGGGAGCGCGCGCGCGGGAGAGTGGACATTCTGTCTCTCTCAGACACGAGAGAGAGAGAGAGAGAGAGAGAGAGAGAGAGATGGTGTGTGTGAGAGAGTGTCTATCGTCACTCCCTTTCCCAGCACACCTAAGCACTTCCCCTTCCACCAAAACACACACACACACACACACACACACACACACACACACACACACACACACACACACACACACACAACAACACACACACACACACACACACACACACACACACACACACACACACACACACACACACACACACACACACACACACACACATCACACACGTCGCCACATCAGCGGCGCCAATGGAGACTCGCGCGCCAGGATTCCTTGCATTTAATACCATTACGGTGGCGGCGTCCGTCGCTGGGGTAATGGTGCCAGCGCGCCCTGCTGCTTAGCCCAGCTGTTGCTGCTGCTGCTGCTGCTCCCGTTACTGCTGTGCTGTTCCCGTTGTCATCGCCCCTGTTTACCCGACACTTCAGAGCTACCCGCATTAACGAGGGCTACCCTAGGGGTGTGTGAAGGAGGTCCACAGGTGCCCCTCTATCCCCCTGGGATTCTAGGTCTTGGATGATGGCCAAACCTTAGGCCTAGAACCTCACTTCCGCGAAAATGGTGGCCACAGGGGCCACTCTCTACAGTGAAGACGATGGCCACAGGGGCCACTCTCTACAGTGAAGACGGTGGCCACAGGGGACACTCTCTACAGTGAAGACGATGGCCACAGGGGCCACTCTCTACAGTGAAGACGATGGCCACAGGGCCATAGCAATAAGCACAGGGTAATGCAATATTGCAGGAGGCCGTCTTGTATTGCTAGGGCGTTAATATCTCATCGCTTGCAAGGGACCACAGAGAGGGAGCAGCTTCGTTTTGTCACAGTCTGCCTGGCGTCGATCGCATAAAGAAAACGAGAATTCGCTGTAGCGAGCTTAAAGGTATACTTGCCATCCGTTGTAGCGAGTTTAAATGTATACCCACCACTGTTGTGGGAGAGTTTAAAGGTATACCAAGGGTGGTTATCGTGGGTTTGATCGTTGGTGTGGGTGGGTGTGGGTGGGTGGGTGTGTGTGTGTGTGTGTGTGTGTGTGTGTGTGTGTGTGTGTGTGTGTGTGTGTGTGTGTGTGTGTGTGTGTGTGTGTGTGTGTGTGTAATTACCTAAGTATACTTACAGGATGAGAGCTACGCTCGTGGTGTCCCGTCTTCCCAGCACTCTTTGTCATATAACGCTTTGAAACTGATGTGTGTGTGTGTGTGTGTGTGTGTGTGTGTACTCACCTATATGTACTCACCTATATGTGCTTGCAGGATCGAGCATTGACTCTTGGATCCCGCCTTTCGAGCATCGGTTGTTTACAGCAATGACTCCTGTCCCATTTCCCTATCATACCTGGTTTTAAAATTATGAATAGTATTTGCTTCCACAACCTGTTCCTGAAGTGCATTCCATTTCCCCACTACTCTCACGCTAAAAGAAAACTTCCTTACATCTCTGTGACTCATCTGAGTTTCAAGCTTCCATCCATGTCCTCTCGTTCTGTTACTATTCCGTGTGAACATTTCGTCTATGTCCACTCTGTCAATTCTCTGAGTATCTTATACGTTCCTATCATGTCCCCCCTCTCCCTTCTTCTTTCTAGTGTCGTAAGGCACAGTTCCCTCAGGCGCTCTTCATACCCCATCCCTCGTAGCTCTGGGACGAGTCTCGTTGCAAACCTCTGAACCTTTTCCAGTTTCATTATATGCTTCTTCAGATGGGGACTCCATGATGAGGCGGCATACTCTAAGACTGGCCTTACGTAGGCAGTGTAAAGCGCCCTAAATGCCTCCTTACTTAGGTTTCTGAATGATGTTCTAACTTTTGCCAGTGTAGAGTACGCTGCTGTCGTTATCCTATTAATATGTGCCTCAGGAGATAGATTAGGTGTTACGTCCACCCCAGGTCTCTTTCACGCGTCGTTACAGGTAGGCTGTTCCCCTTCATTGTGTACTGTCCCTTTGGTCTCCTATCTCCTAGTCCCATTTCCATAACTTTACATTTGCTCGTGTTGAATTCTAGTAGCCATTTCTCTGACCATCTCTGCAATCTGTTCAGGTCCTCTTGGAGGATCCTGCAATCCTCATCTGTCACAACTCTTCTCATCAACTTTGCATCATCCGCAAACATCGACATGTAGGACTCTACGCCTGTAAACATGTCGTTAACATATACAAGAAATAGAATTGGTCCCAGCACCGATCCTTGTGGTACACCCACTTGTTACTGTTCGCCAGTCCGACTTCTCGCCCCTTACCGTAACTCTTTTGGCTCCTTCCTGTTAGGTAGTTCCTTATCCATTCTAGGACCTTTCCCCCCACACCCCGCCTGCCTCTCGAGCTTGAACAGCAGTCTCATGTGCGGTACTGTATCAAAGGCTTTTTGGCAGTCCAGAAATATGCAGTCTGCCCAACCATCTCTGTCCTGTGTTTATCCTCGTTATTTTATCATAGAATTCCAGAAGGTTTGTTAGGCACGATTTCCCTGTCCAGAACCCATGTTGATGTTTGTTCAACAAACCTAATGTTCTCCAGGTGTGCAACCAGTCGTAGCCTAATTATTCTTTTCCAGTATTGTACAGGGGATGCTTGTCAGTGATACAGGTCTGTAGTTAAGTGCCTCCTCCCTATCTCCTTTCTTGAAGATCGGCACGACATTTGCCTTCTTCCAGCAACTGGGCAATTCTCCTGACATAAGTGACTCATTAAAGATCATTGCCAGAGGCACGCTGAGGGCCTGTGCTGCTTCTTTTAGTATCCACGGTGATACTTTGTCTGGTCCAACTGCTTTAGTTGCATCTAGAGTTGTCAACTGTTTCATTACCTCCTCTGCTGTCACCTCTATATCTGATAGTCTTTCATCTAGGGTAACCCCTTCCAACAATGGGAGCTGCTCAGGCTCGGTAGTGAACACTCCATGGAAACTGGCATTCAGTGCCTCGCAGATTTCCTTGTCCACTTTCAGTATATGCCCCCTCTGTCTTCCTTAGTCTTGTCACTTGGTCGTTCACCGACATTTTTCTTCTTATATGACTGGTGTAGTAACTTAGGTTGTTTTTTCGCTTTGATTGCAATATCGTTCTCATAGTCCCTTTCCGATGTTCGTCTTATGTTAATGTAATCGTTCCTAGCTCTTGTTTGTATCTGCTTCTGTTGTCCTCTGTTCTTTGTCTTCTGTACTTCCTCCACTCCCGCCTGCTGGCCATTTTTGCTTCCTGACACTGTCTATTAAACCATGGGGGTATTATATTCCTTCTTATTTTTTTCCCTTAACCGTTGGTATAAATCTCTCTTCGGCCTCCTGGCATTTCTGTATGACTAGGTCCATCATATCTTGGACTGTTTTTCCTCTAATTTCTCTTCCTCCCACTGCACTTCACCCAGATAGTCCCTTATCCTCATATAGTCCCCTTTCCCCTGTAGTCAGCTCTCCCTTTCCAATATCTCTTGTCCCATGGTCATAATTTTGCATTCCATCATGTAGTCAAAGACTAGGACACAATGGTCAATGGCCCCTAGAGGTATTTCATGCTCTAAATTCTCGATATCTTCTACGTTCGGGGTGAAAATCAGGTCTAATAGGCTCGGGTGCATCTCCTCCTCTTTCCCTTGGTTCTTCCTTCACATGTTGTGTCAGAAAATTCCTGTCTATAACATCTACTAATTTTGCTCCCCACGTTTCATCCCCTCCATGGGGATTCCTTGATTCCCAATTTATCTCTCCATGATTTAGGTCCCCCATGATCAGCAGCTTCGCTCTCATTCTGTGGGCTAGTGTTGCTGCCTTCTGCAGTTCATCTATACATGCTTTGGTGTTGTCATCATACTCCTGCCTGGGTTTCTACTGTTTGGTGGGGGATTGTAGATTAACCATGATCACAATCTTCCTCCCATCTACTGTCAGAGTTCCATGTATGAAGCTTGTGCACTCATTGGTAACTCGATTTCCCAGGTCTTCAAACTTCCATTTCCGCTTTATTAGGAGTGCTACTCCCCCTCCCTGTCTCTGTGTCCTCTCTTTTCGTATCACCTGGTACCCTTCAGGAAAGATTGCATCTGAGATCATGTCATTAATTTTAGTTTCCACAATTGCAACTATGTCAGGATCTGCTTCACTCACTCTTTCTTTTATCTCTTCTGCTTTATTAGATACCCCATCAGCATTGGTGTACCAAACCTTGAGATTCTTCATGGAAACTCTTGTACCAGAGTTCTCCCTTTCTCTGGGGGTCTGGGGGGATCTGGGGGATGTCTGGGGGGGGGATCTGGGGGATGTCTGGGGGTGACTGGGGGCAGAGGGGATCTGGGGGATCTGGGGGGTGTCTGGGGGATGACTGGGGGCGGGGGAGGGGGTCCGGGGGATGTCCGGGGGGATCCAGGGGTGTCTGGGGGGGTCCGGGGGGTGTATGGGGGGTGAAAGAGTTCAGGAGGGGTGCTTGGGGGGCTACTGGGGGCTGGGCTTCTAGGAAGGTAGGTAGGAGGGTCTGGGGGTAGGGCTGGGTAGGTAGGTCTGGAGTAGGAAGGGCATACTGGTCTGAAGATTAGGGAGGGCATAGAGGGGTTGGGAGATGGCGTAAGGTTGGGAGACAGATAGAGGTTGAGAGGTTGGGAGGGGGATGGATAGAGGGGGTGGGGGGGACCTCCCACCTCCCTCGCAAGGGTGGGGGGTCACATGGAAGGAGAGGGGATGAGGAGGGGTGAGGGCAGGGCAGGCTTTGGGTGTTGAGGGGATGAGGTCTGGGTGGGTTCTTGGG